TGAATAAGTCTAGTTTTTTTCCCTAATAATGGCACCTAAATGAAAATGGCAAACAACTTACGGTTGGATGTGAGAACCAGAGATTTCAGTTTCGAATGGGGGCAGAGTATTTCTACACCAATTGTCACTTGGCAGTACCCAATTGTTGCTACCCCTAAATCTCAAGATTACGCTAGTCACTGCTTTTTTTGTTGCATGCATCTCACTTTTTGTATGCGGTGGTCTTTATTAACTCCCAATATGTTTCACACATAGTGCACGAAAAACCCCTTTAAATGTTATGTGTAAAAAAAACTGCGGGAGTGAAGCTGAAATTATTTTTCTCACCCTTTTTCTCTTTTTCTTAACTAATCAACTTACCCGTGACATTCTATTAGAGAAGAAAAAGGTTTGATGAGTGAGTCGCTCTGGTAAATATTATATTGATTTTCCAATTATTCTGCTGCAGGAACTCATCTCCTTCGATTTCAATGTTCAGTGGTACCCGTGATCGCGTAAGTCCACAAGCAGTACAAGATCTCATGGAACTATGTCGATTAGGTAAACTGCTGCAATTAGGTCCGGTCAGCTGAGGCATATTCATTCCTGTATAAGGTGATTTAGTTGAGATCTACATTTTATAGGTGGTGGTCGACGTGCTGTCAGTCCAGAGAGCATCAAAAGTAGTCGATCGCCGTCGCCACCCACTAGTAGTGGAAGAGCTTCCCCAGGTTTGTGCTTAGCTGGAACTTCATTTCAAGACAGCGTTCAGACTTCGCGATGACGCGCGTCAAGCGCTACCGCTTCAATGGCGCTCCAGCACTATAGATGAGAACGCAACAGCAGACGTGTATCGATCGGCTTATTTTGAAAGACTCTAGGGAAAAGGAGGGGCCCCAGACCGTGTGAAAGCAGCGCCTCCGTTCATTTTATACGCCCGCAAAACACAAGCTGCCGGCGACGATCGATTGGCCCGCGGCTGCGCTCGCTACTGCTGTGGTAGCGCGTCGACGCGCGTCATCGCGAAGTCTGAGCCGTGCCTAACGAGTTAAGTGAAGTATCGGCTTAGGGGGTGAGATGATCTGTATTAGACCTCGTCTAATTCTTTGAGGACAGAACATTTCTGCGTCCACTCATGTTTGGACTAATGATGATGATTACCGCCTGAAGTTAACGCGGTCAGCAATGTCATCGCTTTCCTCGTTATCTCGCTTGAAAGTGACGTCATCTTCGTTTGGTGGCGGCATGCGGAAGCTGTCATCCTCTCCGCATCTGCTGGGAATTTGCGAGGAAGGAGAAGATGTGGACGCTAGCACAGCACAGCTTCTTACAACAGCTCGAGATGGATCTACTAGGTCGAATAGGTAGGTGTTTTCCATTGAAACTGTTTGGCAAAGGAGTTTTTGTTATTGTTAAAAAGTATGATGTATTTTTTGAAGGTCGTCTTCAACGGGACTGTCGCATTTGCGTCATGGAGCCATTCAGGCGACAAAGAGTACTGGTGCTCATACGCAGCCAACGTATAGGTAGGTGATGCGCTCATTAATGCTTCCATCTACCGCATTTTTATAGTCAACTAATTTCTGGCCTTACATAGCTTACTTTAAACGAATTTTGCTGCTACTAATTCACTAAAGAAGAGCGATTGTTTGTAGAAATATAACAGAATTGCTCGGCATTCAAAGGGAACTCCCGATTAAGTGGAATAATTCAATAATTTTCCGCCGGTAAACCGAGTAGCAACATTGGCGCCCATTGGCGATAGGAAGGCTTTTAGTCGAGTGCTATTTGTTGTGTCGTATAGCGCCATTGCATAGCCATTGACTTTCACATCTAATGGTGCGTAGCACCCAAATGGCGCACTTGGTCCGATCCTGAACTTTGAATGATCATCATGAGATCGCTCGACTGTTACGATAGATCAGCGAAGCAACGTTAACGACCTTAATAGTTGGTGATCCGGACGAGTTACTCGACCTAGAAGACGCGCTATCATTGTACGTCGCTAGTGCCCGGCAATGTGGTCGCGCCTTCGAGTAGTCCTTTGAATGCCGAGTAAGAACTAACTAGCGTGTGATCTACTAACCACTGGTTTTAGTTCGGTGCGCATGATTCGCCCACGTCATGCAGTAGTATCACCAGATGTTTGCAGGCGTTATGACCAGCATCAGAGGCTTATCGCACGTAGTCGTCGTAGCACAAGGTTTGCTATTCTGAACTT